ACATCCTTATTCTAGTGGCCCAGGTAAACAGAAGAAGGTCCAGCACCCCAGAAGCTGGGTACCCTTCAGAGTACAGTTGTTTGAAAAGAGGCAGCGAGACTTTTAAAGTGAATAAACAAAAACATCGTTCTTAGCGGTCTAATGAGTGGGATCTACTTTAGGATACTGTTTACTCTTCTAAAAAGTAAACCATGAAATCCTTAAACAGAATGAATGAATGAAGGACGTCATTTTCATTTTTGTAAGTTTCACTATTTGGTATTTCTCACTGTGATAGCCGTGAGGGGTAAATTACTTCCATATCAAATGGCAGCTTGTGAGGATTTGAAGAGCTCACTTGACATTCTTTTGAAAAATGAGCTTTTACTTTAACCCTTTAATTGTGTGGGGTTTTTTTTAAACTTGAAACTTTGAGGACACTAAGATCTTCTGCGCATCTTTCCTGTTCTTTAATTTTGTCGTGCCTTCGGTGGTCTGTGAATGCCCAGGTGGCTGGCCCTGCTGCTCACGCCCTCCGTCAGCAGACATTTCATTCCTCTGGGATCACTTTCTTTCCAAACAACTAAATGAGAACTTCAAAACCCCTGATTTTAAATTTCAAATACTAATTACTTCATCTGTAATTAAATTGTTCAAATTCATTTTCCATGCCTTTTTCCAGCCTGTGAGTGACCATGCAGGGCGGGGTGGAAATGATTCTTCCATCCCGTATGTAGCAAGTACGCGTGCTGGAGTGTGGACCCCACACCCGCTTCTCCACCCTCCCTGCCCCTGCCCTGTAGTACAGCAGAGGATGCCAAGTCTGATTTTCATTGTTTTCATCGTTCTCTCCGAGAGATCCACCAGCGGCCTGCGCATGTACCGGGTGAAAGACGGGGACTCTGTGCCCCAAACAACCTGGACAGGATCCATGAAACACACGTGGCCTTTTAAGGCCAAGACCCTGATCCAAGTTGAAGGTGGGCTCTGGCTAGAGCAACCGATGTGGTTCCTCAGGAAGAAGCTGCACCTGGGACAGCATCTGTCACCGCAGCGGCCTGGCCTGTCCCCCCAGGAGGCCTGTCCCCCGGGGAGCATTGCGGTGTCTCCTGGCACCCCCCCCACCCCCGTTCCTCTGCCTGCCAGCTTTCCCTGCTTATAGTTCTCTGCCCTGGTAATGTGGTCTTGAGGGAGGCATTGGCTTGCGCGTGACCCTTCCTCTTTGACTTCATATCCAACATTTCAGGTTTTCTTCAAGCTGCCTTTGATGATGTCCTAGAAATATAATCCTTAATAGCTTTGTTTTACAAGCAATCAGCTCCTGTTCCTTCCATGTTTTTCTTTTAAAATTTACATGAGACTGGGTAAGGCAGGGTCCAGGAATGAGTGATGAACATCTGTCAGCTCCTGCACCAGCCCCATCGTGGCTGCTGACGTGCTTGGGGAGAAGGACCCAGCACGGGTCAGGCACTGTCCGGGGGAGCCCCTCCGGCAGCATGGGTCAGGCACTGTTGGGGGAGCCCCTCCAGCAGCGTGGGTCAGGTACTGTCGAGGGAGCCCCTCTGGTACCGTGGGTCAGGCACTGTCCGGGGTAGCTCCTCCGGCAGCATGGGTCAGGTACTGTCGGGGGAGCCCCTCTGGCAGCGTGGGTCAGGCACTGTCCGGGGGAGCCCTTCCGGCAGCGTGGGTCAGGCACTGTCCGGGGAGCCCCTCTGGCAGCGTGGGTCAGGCACTGTCCGGGGGAGCCCCTCCGGCAGCGTGGGTCAGGCACTGTCCGGCGGAGCCCCTCCGGCAGCGTGGGTCAGGCACTGTCTGGGGACCCCCTCCGGCAGCGTGGGTCAGGCACTGTTTGGGGGAGCCCCTCCGGCACGGCTGTTTCCTTTGGGAGAGACGGCGAACGTGGCGGACACTTGGCCCGGCACAAACTAGCTTGCGCCTCCCTGCTCAGAGCTAAACGCTTACTGACTGAATGTCCCTACTTTGTCCTGATCCCCAGCAATAACTGAAGGTAATCTTGAAACCAAGTAAGAGCTCGCCTTGTGGGAGGCCAGTGATGTTTTTGTTGGGTTTCCTTCATGTGTGGCCGGCGCTTGCTGTCAGCAACCTTGACATTGGCATCAGCTCCTCGAGCTTTGCCTGGTAGGTTTACCTTGGATGGCTACCTCTCCTAGGAGTTGTTTTAATGTATTATCAAAACTTGTATTGAGTGTCGCCTCTCAGTCAGTCATGGAGATTGGCCTTGGGAACATAAAATGGTAAACAAAACAGATACAGCCCCTACCTTGCCGCGTCTAAGTCTCATGGGAGAAGAGGCATAACGAGAGGGCCATATCATTGCAGAGCGGCAGCATCCAAGCTGAGACCTGCAGGATGGGGCTTAGTCACTCAAAGTGGGGGAAGAGGAGTGCTTCCAGCAGAGGGGTTCCAGCCCGAATCCTGCCCTGTGGTCATGTACTCAGGAACACTGCCTCGTCCCTGAGAAAGTTGAGTGTGGCCGGGCCTGGGCGTTCTGACACCCCTGTCACTCCATGAGACCCCATGAGCTCCCAAAGAGCAGGGATCTCCTGTATGACACAGTTCATGGTAGGTCCTGGATAAGCATGTATTTAGTAAATAAGAGGTGTTGAACATCGGCTTGAAGCTGCTTTCTGTTAGACTTTATTGGTATTAAAATATGATACACTGCTTATAAAAAGGCCTGAAGTAACTTGATTTTCCAGAAGCTTTTTCCCCAGCAAGGCTGGCTGGTCCTTGCCAAGTCAGCATGTCCTCCCCCTGCCTCCTCTGCTCTTACCCATGTTGTTTTGTCTACCCTGTTGGCATGGCCTTTAGAGAGCCTGGCCAGTGGGACAGAGAAGTGATGCTCCAGGAGTGTTTTCTGTGGGCTTCTGCGGAGATAAAGGATCCTTGCAACCGTATGGGAATCACGAGTGAGGCAAAGCATCAGCTGTCTAGAATCCTTGGGAAGGTCTTCTGCATAGGCGAGGTTTCCAGCTCACTGAAGATTTACCTTCAGATACTCGAACTGTTTTAAGTCAATTCCCAATTTGATTTCCATTTTAAAATATAGTAGGCCTTTTCCTAGAAATTTTTAGAAGAAAATTCTCTTTTTTCCCTTGTAACAGATTTTAAAGGGTATGATATTGCCAGTGCTTCTTGAGGGGGTGTATGATTTTGCATTTATAACCAAGGACTCCAGGCACCTGAACTCTTCCTGTTTGCTACTTTATAATTAGGAGATCGGTTGAAACTTGTAACTACCATCAGCACTCTTGGCTTCATTAGCCCCTGCCTCTTTCTGAGCCATTGGTACTGATAAACTGTGAAACTGGAAACCACAGAACCAAGTTGTATTTACTTGTTCATGTGTATATTTCAATGTTTGTACCTTCACTAAATGTACGCTCAGCCAGGCGTGGTGCTAAGTACTGGAGTTACACCAAAGCGAGGGACGCTGGTTCCTTGTGCTCCGAGGGCCTTCTGGAGGAGCAGAGGGTGCAGGAGCATGGTGGGGGACTGGGCGGAGCACCTCCACCGGGCTGAGGTGCCACGTGGTGGAGACGGGGTGGCCCCCCAGTAATGACCCTGCATTTCTTAATCCACGAAGTGTGTAACTGTCATTGCATAGTTTGGGCTGCAGAGGCCACTTCCCGTGTCTGTGTCATGTTCTAGATTGTGAGTGCCTATTAGCAGCTGAGCTTCTGGTGGGCAAGATCTGACCTGACATCAATGACCTTTTCCCCCCCAGTTTCTATCATTATTAGTGGTGCTGTTGAATCACTTGATTATCGGAAGGTGCTGATCCTAGACCTCCCCATTGTAAAGGCATATCTTTTTTTCCATTACAGTAAGTAAATTTTAGGCCAGTATCTTGACATGCATGAATGGCTTGTTCCCCCAAAACTTCTCACTTAATGTTTTAGAGTCGGTGAGCCTTTCCTGGATCAGTTAACCTTTGTTGCAAAATTGTGATTTTTCCAGTACTAACATTTCTTCTGCATTTGCTAGCAGTCGTGTTCTATAAAAATCTTCATATCCTCCCTCCCTCTCTTCATCATTATCAACTAGATTTTTATTCAGTGCATTACAGTCCATTAGAGCCATTATTCTTTTGATACATAAAAGTGCCCCAAGTGTGGCCAAGTCGGAGGCACCTTCACACTGGTCCATGCTGTTCACATTAGACCGTGAGCGCATCCATGCTTCTTGATGCAAGGCGCCCCACCCTGTACCTTCCCTGCCCCTCCCTTGGAATCCGTCACCTCTCAAGAAGCTCTCTCAGTGCCAAGGAAAATTCAAAACCAGGACGTGGGTAATAGGACTACGCGCTGCTCTGGAGAGGTCATTGCTCCCAGGCACTGTCAGTGGCTAAACCTAGGAAACAAGAGGAAAAAAATATGCCCTTGTACTGATGTTTTTTTCTGAAGTATTCATTTATAATCTCTTTTTTCTTGTTAATTAGGAACTCAATTATGGTGATGCTTCGAGGTTATCTAAGAATCTTTCCTCTTAAAAAAAAAAAAAAAATCTTAAAATCTCTTAGGATGTGTTGTTCTTATCTCTCCAGAGGGAGAAAGGACAACTTAATCCATACTGAGAGAAAAAAGTGCTCAGAAAGATTAAATAAGTTGCCCAAGTGGACCCTGTCATTGTACTGTGTGCACTTTTTTTTTTTTTTTAAGATTTTATTTATTTGAGAGAGAGAGAGATGGGCAGGGCAGGGAGAGGCAGAGGGAGAAGCAGGCTCCCCACTGAGCAGGGAGCCCGACGCTGGGCTCAATTCCAGGACCCCGGGATCATGACCTGAGCAGAAGGCAGACACTTAACCAACTGAGCCGCCCAGGCGCCCCTGTGTGCACTTTTTCCAAGTGTATGTATGCTACTTCTGTGATCAGAGGGGGTCATTAGAGGTACTTTCTATATACTTTTTAGTAAATTCCTTTTATATCATATATTTGCAATAGATCTAAAAAGCATCCTTAATGTTGCCAGTATTTATAATCTATTCTGGTTACTTTCAGGTGCGGCTAAATCAAGTCCAGCGTCTAAGCCAGGATCCACACCTTCTCGTCCCTCATCAGCCAAAAGGGCTTCATCCAGCAGCTCAGCATCCAAATCTGATAAAGATTTAGAAACACAGGTCATACAGCTTAATGAACAGGTAACTCATCAGCCCTGGCCCAGTCTCTGAGGGGAGGTTGGGGGGAGGGAGCAAACGCCTATAAGCCTGAGGTAAGGACGGTGGGGGGTGGGGGGCAGTGGTGTCAAGCAAGTAGGGATTAAAGAAATTGTTCAGGCAGATAAAATCAGTGGCCCACTAGGAATAAAAGATATTAGTCAGGGGGCGCCTGGGTGGCTCAGTTGGTTAGGCGACTGCCTTCAGCTCAGGTCATGATCTCAGGGTCCTGGGATCGAGCCCCACATCAGGCTCCCTGCTCCTTGGAAAGCCTGCTTCTCCCTCTCCCATTCCCCCTGCTTGTGTTCCCTCTCTCGCTGTCTCTCTCCCTCTGTCAAATAAATAAATAAAATCTATAAAAAAAAAAAAAAAGATGTTAGAAATCATAGCTATACATTAAGACAGAAGGACAAAGGACTCAGCCCCAGGTAAATGCAGGTTCGTAGGCCAACGTCTCACTCCCCACCCCCACCCTACCCCCCACACCACAGGGCCGATCATAAGCTCCAGGCTAGACCACGGCCTCTCTGCCCACTTCTGGCCAGTCTAGATACCATTCAACACTGGAGTTAGGGTTAGTCTCTCTTCTTCCTTTACGTCAGCAGCTATTTGTCAAGCCTATTCTATGGGACAGACCCCATGCTTGGTGCTAAAAACATAATGGTAATGAGAGAGACCTTAGAGCTTCCCTTCCCTCGTAGGACTCAGAGCAGTTATCCGGGGTAGACGATTATGCCAGCAAAGTGAATACCTAACACTTCCTACCACAGAAGTTTGATGTCACAGGAGCACCGAACCCAATACTGGGGCGTCAGAAAGGCCACAGTTGTGTTTTAAGTTGAAAAATGTTCTTTTTTGTCTAAATATAGCTCTCCTGTCATTGAAATTTTCAATATAAAACTTTAAGTATGCTGTCTACCTAACAATAGGTATTTTTGCCTAAGATTATGTGTAGTTTAAAGGGAATAAAATGATTGGTAGCATAAGGCCCACTGCAGAAGCCACCTCCCCTGACCCTGAGTTGAGAAGAGCCCTTTATCCCAGCTGCTCCCCCCACTGGGAGAGAAGCTTTTATTCACCGTTCTTAGGCTCTTCCCAGCCAAGTGGCCGGGCCGTTCCCGGTGATTAATCTGATTCCTGAGGAGCCAGCAAGAGTCTGGAAACAGTTTTTGAGATAATTGTATATTTGCAATCAGGAGTCAAGTTTAAAAGCAGGCAGTTGCTTAGCTAGGGTGTTTCTTTACAATTCTGATCACTTTAACGAAAACGGTGAAACCTGAAGTCATCCAGTGGGTAGGACTTTGATTTAGAAACTGTGGAATGTTCCACCTACCTGCCGATTCTCAATTTGAGCCCATATGGAATTTCCAGTAACAGGTTCTTCTCAAAAGGTCGGTGGGACAGCCATAATGAGCTGTGGGCCACATGCCCAAGGCTCTGAGCAAATCCGAGTAGACTTAGAATCAGGCGTGGGTCTGTGACACCTTAGACTTACAACCCTTTCTCCTTAGGAACCCAAGTTCTTTCAGTATCTTTATTATCTCTTGTTCTGTCACGATCTCTCTCCTCCCCGTGGTCTCCCTCTACCACACCCAGGTTTCCAACCCAAAGTGTAACCACACGGAAACCTCAAGATCCTTCCTGCCCTCTCCTATTCGCCTTAGCCAGCTGGACCCCCTTCCTCTCCTTGGGCCTGGCTCCGGGCTCCCACTAGCCGTCTAGTTACGCAAAGAGCCTCCCATTCCCCAGGGAACCCAGCCCACGTCCTACCATCCAAAAGTGTCACTCCAGAGGGCGGAGGGAGAACAACAAGAGGGGCTTCCCAGTGGTCTTGTAACTCCTTTATTGCTTCAGAAGGGCTTCGCTCCCCCGCCTGCCCCCGTGTACATCAGGGAGGGGTGTGTCTGTTTGCCGCCCTCCCCCGACCTGGTCCCTCAGAGGGAAGGTCACACACCCTAAATTGGGAGTGTTCATTCAGCTGTTCACTGAGCCCCTACTCCAGATCCAGATCCGTGTTTCTGTGTTCTCGCTCCCTCCGTTTTCTGTCCTGGCTGACACTGGTGGGTAGCCACACAGGCATCACTGTGCTGGGACGGAGGACTCTGGGATGAGGAAGGGCTGGGTGGAAATGCCTAGGCTGAAGAGTGAATTACAGTCATAATAGAGGAAGCGATGAGTGCCATGAACTTAAAGAATTCTCATTTACTTGGCCTCCTGCCTCTATTCAGGCAGTCTCCCATGACATACTATAAAAGTACCACTGTGCTAGGCAATTCCAGTGATAGAAATGAATCAAAAGACAGAGGGGAGGGGCGCCTGGGTGGCTTGGTCAGTTAAGCAGTCGACTCGATTTCAGCTCAGGTCATGATCTCAGGTTTGTTAGATAGAGCCCTGCGTTGGGCTTCCTTCTGGGCGTGGAGCCTGCTTAAGATTCTCTCTCCCTCTCCCCCCACCCCTGCTCTATCTTAAAAAATGGGAGAAGGCAACATAACTAAAATCATGAGGGCTGTATGTGGAGAGTGGGTTAGCAAGCAGGCAGTGGGGGGAGTCACTGCTGTGCCCAGGGGCCCCCGGGGGCTGGAGAGTGGGCATTGGTTGGCTTGGGCAACAGGGCTGTGAGGACCCATGGTGTGCGGATGCTGAGAGGGAGGGGGGATTATTGAGAGAAGGGAACTCGCCCTTGTCTCTTCCTCTTGACTTACTCGAAGGTCCATCCCCAGTGTCCCCTCCGCCACTCTGGCTTCTGCAGCGATACGTGAGGGTACCGCGTGGCATCGGTCTTCGTGAGTGGGCCTGTGAAAGTGGACTTTCCTTTGCCAGTTGATCTATCCTCATATGCTTCAGCCCCTGACGGTTTTTACTAGGGATCTTTATAGCTGCGCATCCATTACCTCGTGCATCTGGAATACCACCAGAGGCCAACCTGGGCTGGATATTTCTACAGAAGCCTCAGCCCTTTGTATGTTGTACAGACCAAAGCACTCTCGAGAGGCAGCAAACCTATTTTCCATGGGTTGAATGCTTCCAGAGACCCTTCTTGCCTCGTCCAGGGAGAGCTCGCAGGCTCAGACACCTCAAGTGCCACAGATCTGTCTGCAGGCACCAACACAGGCTTCTGATGGACTCTGTGGCCAAGCCTCAGGAGGGGGTTGGTTTGTTTTAAAACAAGGAAGGATTTCTAGAATAAGGGAAGTTTCCTTTTCCCTGTACTTAAGGCTGCTGGTTGCCTTCATTTTTTTTTTTTTTTTTAATAAATAACCCAACCATCATATCATCAGAAATAAGAGTGAAAGGTAGTGAATGAGGCTCAGCTGCCTTGTGAGCAGCATGTGAGGGGGTCTGCGAGGTGAACTCTGTGGGGCCATGTCCCTGAGTCTTAGGCCAGGTACGCAGGAAGGGGATGGACACCACATGTGCTCGGTGTGTGTGCCAATGGGTCAGGATTTCCGGCCAGATAAATAGCATGTACAAAGGCCCAGCATTATTAGAGAAGAAAATTTCCCCTTCCAAAGGTAATTTTTGGAAATTCTGTTAGGGTGATTTCAGTACACTGAATGAGAGATTTGACCTGAGGATGACCATGAAAGATTTAATTCATCTCCTAAAGGATATTGTCTGCATAAATCTAAATGCACAAGGGGTTAAAAAAAAAAAAGAGGGGGAGGATTCTCAGCAGGAACAGGGTGAAGGTTTGGGCCTGTGTGTAGCTGCTATGCCCATTTGGGATTTGAGACCCAGTCTATTGACGCCACGGTCAGTGTCCCTTCAGCCCAGGTGATACTGCTTCCCCCTTCCCTACACCATCTCTGTCATCAGTGTGAGAGGCCGCACAGCCCTCGAAGGTTGTGGAACCAGCCTCCAGGGGAGAAAAGGGGAATGAAGGGCTGTTTTGCTGAGGGAATGGGGCTTCCTTATCTTGCTCTTCCCCCTGCACTCCTACAGTGTCCCCAGAGCCAGAACCAGATGAGTTAAGACCAGTCCGCTCAGCTGGGCTCTCCGTCTCACCCAGTTGTCCTTGTAGCTGAGACCCAGTTTCTCAGTAGAAAGCGTTTGTCTACAGTGGCTTCGGGACATTTATGAAGGGATCCAAAATGAAGGGCGGCTCTTCCTGCAGGTTCCCTGAAGAAAGGAGGGTCCTCAAAATACATCTAGAATAACCACAGTGGCAGCCTCTCTCATCTGCCTCCCCTCCCTGCAGAGGATGAACAGTGTAGAAGGATGTGCTCTGGCCCGTGTTAGCAGGAGAGGAGGAAAGCTCACTCAGAGCCCGGATGCAACCGTGTCGGGCAGAATGATCCGTCCCACAGTGGTTATGAACACTCAGTTGGCAGACGGGATGACCAGAGTGCTGTTGAAGTCGGACGTGTGGCCCAGGCTCAAGCTCCATTGCACATCTCTTGTTTCATGTTTAGGGTCTTTAGAGGCAGGCGTAGTTGGCCACGTTTCTTATACTGTTTTTTGGTGTTTTTTTTTTTTTCCTTCTACCCTCATTCCCTTGCAGGTACATTCATTAAAACTTGCCCTCGAAGGTGTGGAAAAGGAGAGAGATTTCTACTTCGGCAAGTTGAGAGAGATTGAGCTACTCTGCCAAGAACACGGGCAGGAAAATGATGACCTCGTGCAGCGACTAATGGAAGTCCTCTATGCTTCGGAAGAACACGTAAGTGTGAGGAGAGCCCTTGACTCCTGCCTTCTAAAGCGATGCTCTTGGTCAGGGTGCAGTGATCAGTGTGCCTTCAACTGCTGCCCTGGGTCTCTGAGAATTAGGACTCAGCCAGTGCATTTGTTATTCCCAGAGGAATAAGTATCATTATCATCCGATTCGTTGACCCATGCTTGTGGGCTGTGCATTCATGAAGTAATCTGGGAAGAGATGAGTGGATGGGGGTGGGGGGAGAGTGGGAAGACTGAGAAAAACAGGTATCAAGTGGTTTTCAGCTCTGAGCAGCTGAGCAACAAGAACATGTGTAAGGATTCTTCCTGACGGAGTATGGTTAGAGGAAGAATTCGCCTAGGTGTTTTTCCCATCCCCATAAGCCCCCCCACTGCCTGTTTTTATTTCATCACTGGTTGTCTTGGTTACTCATTGCCCGTGCAGACCAACACTATGCAATAGCCCTTAGCTGAAAAATATTTTTAGAAGGGCTCCTCTGGGGGTGTCTGGCTGGCTCAGTCAGAAGAACATGCAACTCTTGATCTCAGGGTCATGAGTTCAAGTCCCATGTGGGGTATAGAGATTACTTAAATCTTAAAAAACAAAAATTAAAAAGGGGGGGGCAGCGGCCTCCTCTACGGGCAGGACCTGGCTATCAGGACTTGCTCCTCAGGAGTGTAAGGGAGAGGGGGTGGGAGGGGGGCCCCAGGATGTGGATTCTGTCCTGGTGAAGGAAAGCAGGTATGAGGAACAGCAGAGGAACAAGACTTTCAAGAATCAAGGACAGGAAGGGAAGGGGGGGATAAAGGGTAGAGATGAAGTCAGGTACCTCCAAATCTGCCTGTGCAGGGAGTGAGGGGCCCCAGCAGCAAGGCAGGAGTGGGAGCCTGCCAGAGAGCCCCCCCACCGTGGAAAGTGGGAAAGACGGGGCTGGGGTTTCAAGCTCTTCCCTAGGCCAGGCTGAAGCTGGTAGAAGGTCTGAGTCTGTTGGACCCGGAGGCCTGGGGCCATTCCCAGGGCTCTGGGGGTGAGTTGCGTGTGTTCGTACTTCGACGGAACGGGAACAAGTCACCGGCAAGTTTACTTTATGATTTATTCCAGCCCAATACCAGACAAATGTTTACTCCATGTAAGATTTGAAATCCTAGGGATGAGATTTTCTAAAACGGCCCATGGTTTGAGGAGTCTCCACCACATTTTTCATTCCCTCTCCCCAGCCCAGTTTTTTTTTTTTTTAAAAGCTGCTTTCTCAGTTAATCATCGGCTCAGACTGTAGATCTTGAAGCGCTGAGAAGCTTCCTGTCCAGGTCCCAGAGGCAGTGATGGCTTCACAAAATACAGTTCTCAGTGTTTTCAGATCTGATGGCAGAAACTTACTGATTTCTAGTGTGCCTGCACTTGCCCGAGTGCTTGGTACTCTGTCAGGTACTACATGAGTTACGGTTATTCCCCTCACAAGCTTCTTGGAGGCTAAATCCAACGTGGTCTCCACAGCACCGCAAGTCTGAACGACCGGGCCCACTGACAGGAGGAAGGCAGTGAGCAGCATCAGAGCGTCCCAGCCCTGTGCTGTCGGTGGGAGGAGAACCCTTCTGACAGCCACCCCAAGCCAGGTCTTGTCCCGAGAGGGAGTCCTTGGGCAGGGGCCTGCTCAGGTGACCTCCAAGTTCAGGGTTGACACAGGCCCCTGAGTTCTGGCTCACGGTAGGCAGGGCCAACCCTGGGGGAGAGCTCCTGCCTTCTGAGTGTGACTTTGGGGGATTCTGCCTGGTGCCCGTTCTTGGGTTAAACAGACGCACCCTACATTACCATTTCAGGGGCAGGTATTTGCTGGAGAGGCTTCTTGTCTAAGGCTTTATTTGGCGATGGCTGGTCTTTGATTCTTGGAGTCAAACAATCCTAGAATAGAATGTTTGGAAGATGTAGAAATCCAGATGGGAGTTTGCGTACAGAAGTAAACAGGGGCAGTTCAGTTCACAGTTGTAGAAACCTGATGGAAGTTTCCAAAGCAGATCACCAGACCGCTGTCTTGTGCCCCTCTTTATCATTCTCGGGATCTTTTCCCTTCGGGGCCACAGGTATCTGGACTTAGTCATTGCTTAGCTGCTGCCTTGTCCATTTGTCAGCCGAGGTGCGCCTGCCTGTATAAACAGACACTTAATTCTTGAGGTACTGTCACAAAAGTCACTGTTGAGTGACCTAAAGATTCCTCCCTGCTCAACCAAGAGCTCGGGGGAAGAGCCTGTGCTTCTAGCATTGGACGAACTCTGGGTATACAGAAAGGGGACAGAGCCACTGTCTCAGCGAGGGACCACGAACTGGACGAGGTCAGGTATGACACATGTGGTGAGCACAGAAAGACAGCCGGGAGTGACAAGCAAAAACTTCACCGAGAAGAGGACATTTGGGTTGGAGTTGAAGAATGACCGGGAAGAGCAGCAGGGAGAGGGCTGTTCAGGCCGAGGAGAGCGGGTGAGCACAGCCCTGAGGAAAGAAGAGCCCGATGGGGATGGTGTGAGCGGGGGCAGATGAGCCTACTGAGTGCCACCTCCTTCTAGGAAGTCAGGAGCCATGGGAGCTCCTCGGCGACCCTTCCTCCTTCCTTTGCCCCCATTTTCCTCCTGTAGTAGGCAAGAGCCTTCTTCATACGGGCTTCCAGCTTCTCTTTCTAATGATTATCATGAGAATGAGGAACTCTAACAGGCTTGCTTCACAGCTAAACCTTCAGAAAGATGTGACAGATTGATATGCAAAGACTAGAATTTAGCCGGTAGTACTCCAGGGCATTGTCTGGCACAGGTTCTGCCTGGCCTCCTACTTCCATGTGTGTTTAAGTTCTTCCTTCTTATATGGGGCATAAGAAAATTTTTCTTCTTGTGAGCTTACACAACATGGTGTGAGCTGGGAGCACTTGGCTGTGATATGTAGTATGACCGCCTCAGCATTCCAGATACGTCCTGCAGACCTTCACCCCGCCTTATCGTGCACCCCTAGCATTAGCAATCCCTTGGTAAGCTGGGAGGTTTGCTCTTTAGCCTAGTAAAGAGTAGTCTGGGATCCATAGTTCCTGCAGGTGGATGATGTCACAGAGCCCCCTAGCTCAACAAGGAGGAAAGGGAGACTGGTGGTGAGGTCTGATCTCATGGGTTCCTGGTCCCACAGCTTGTTACAGGCCCACAGTGTTTGAATCCATGGGTTTGACTTTCAGTCCTGGGTTAACCCCATTATCCCACAGTTAACTCCCAACTGTGCTGTGAGCAAACACGAGTTTCTGTAAAATGTCAAAACAGACCCTCAGTTCTGAGATCTCCCATGCACCCTAACATGCACTAACCAAGTAAGGAAAGCACACTTGTGACCTGCCAGAGTCCTAGCAGTAGGAAAGGAAGGCACCCTGCTATCAGTAGAGTTAGGATGATGGATAAAATAGCATCCCTGACCCTTCGAGGGGGTGGGAGCCTGGCTCGAGGGGCCGCCAGCCAGTGGGCTCGTGCACACACACACTCAGGCCTGCACCCACTCACGACTGTGGGGCATAACGTGACGGAAGCCGAACCAGGCGGTGAAGCTGAGCGGAGTAGCGGGTGCTGGGGTGAAGGCAGGGAGAGCGGCAGCAGGAAGGAACGCGGGGCAGAACAGACGCCGGGGAGGTCCCAGGACCACTCGATTTCTTTTTTTGCCCCTAGACAAGAGGGAGAACACTTACTGGAAGAGGCTCGTGACTTTCCTTGTCTCATACTATCTCCACAAGAAATACTCCCATACTCCCACAGGAAGGCCACTCTCAGTTGAGGCACTAACTTTCGGGCGCCGAGGACCACCTTCATCCTGCACACAAAGCAGTAGGATGCTGCAGTGAGGGCCCGGGGATGAGTTGGCGGAGGGGGAGCCGGGGGGACATTCTGAAGCCAAAATCCAATGTGGTTAAGTCATGAAGGAGGGGTGGGGGGGGGCAAGGACAGCATAGTGCATAGTGTGGGCAGAGGGGAGGATATTGGGCCCTGGCACATCAGCAGGGGGGTGGTCCTGGGCATGGGGAGAACTGACCGTTACTAAATAATATGCGTCTGGACACCGAGCCAGTAAGGGGCAGCACTAGATTTGAACCAGGGTCTTCAGTGTGATGTTCCTTTTGACTGTTGTCACAGAATTTTCACTTCTAGAATATATTTTAAAGAGCTCTTCCACCAAGAAATAATTGCAGCTCACCATAGGTATTATGAACCGAACAATATTCTAGGCACCTTCTTGAATTCCTTGACTCCTCAGTGAAACTCATTGAAAACTGTTAGATGGGTGCTCCTGTTATAATGGAGCAGGGAAGCATCTGGGCATGCATGGGCTCATGGGAGCGGGAAAGCCCTGGTCCCGCAAGGTGGGCCTCTCCCCAGTCCGTGCAGGATGCTGCGGGGCCTCCCCCCCCCGCCAGTACCTCGTTCCAGCTGAAACCTCTCCGCCTGTCCTGCAGGAGGGCCACCCGGAGGAGCCCGAGGCTGAGGAGCAAGTCCACGACCAGCAGCCCCAGCAGCCGGAAGAGTACTGAAGCGTCCTGGCCGCTCGCGCCTTCAGCTGTGCTTGGGAACTTTTCTTCTGGAGAAACGCGTGGCCTCAAGCTCAGCCGTAACCAGTCGTTCCCAGTCTGCCGTTAACATCAACGCACTGTTGCATCCGCCAGCCACCGCGCTCGGTTCCCATTTCCTTTGCCAAGACCCATTAGCAGCCGGCCGTTGGGCGGCCTACCTGAGAGATCACAGGGTCACGTCCCTTCTACTTCACCACTTGGCTGCTTGAGATTGATTCTGCTCTTTTCATTTCTCAAACTCCCCCCTTCCCAACACCACCCCTCCTTTTATCCTGGTGTGAAACAATGGTAATTTGATATATGGTATTTACATCGGCATTTCTCAACCAGTGTCACTAGATGTCACACATTCGTGGTGCTTTGATGTTTGCAAGTCTAACCTCTGAAGGTAAATTTGGTCAAATAAATTGGAGCAAAGGGAAAGAGATACTTGATATGAAAGCCATAAGGACAGTGACTCGTTTTATAGGAAAAAAAAAAAATGGAATCAAAACTAGGACTTCAGGGCCCAGCAGTATTTCTCCCTGAGCATGGTAGACAGCTACAGTCAGTCAAGGACAACACCATCTCCGCTTCGCCCTCCGACTGCTCGCCCCGCCCCTCCCACACCCAGGTTCTCATGCTCTTTTCTTTCTCAGGGTCCTCTTTCGTGGGCAGCCACTCTCCCCAAAAGCTGTCATCAGTTACCTACAGTCCAGAGGGGGTCTGCATAGGTGCAGGTCCTCCTGCCTCTCTCTGGCTTTCAGCCCAAAGCCTGTCCTCTGCACTAGGGGACTCCTCCTCCAGAACGACTTCAGGGTGTGCGGCCCTGAGGGGCAGGGCTCTGCGTCGTGCTGCACGCTCGCTGGAAGTGAAGACCTTCTTACTGGGAGCATCATTCCAAGGGTGACTCCTGATTCTGAAGTCTGGTGTTGACACTGGAATGACAGCACAGAAAAAAATCCCTGACTCCCCGTACCTTCTGGAATAAGGAATTTCCCCTCGTTAATACTAAGGCCCTCCTTGTCATTGACCTTTGATAACCGTGGCAATTCATAAATAGAGGAAACATTAATGAATTAAAAGCATTCCTTATTTTTTTAACTAATATTTGCACATTTTCTTAGTATCTTTCCAAATCTTTGCCTCTTTTATTCCTTTGACAGATGGTATCCCTTCCTGGATCATTCATTTCACTTGGTTTCCAACTTTAGATTTGCCTCACTTGTTATTGGACTTAGCAGGTGCAGCAACAACAACCAACAAGTGTGCCCACCCCACTTGCCTCTTAACTGAAAAGCTTCAAATAAATTTCTGAAATATGTATCATAAAGCTTTGACATTTCTTTATTAATTGGTGAAATACTAATTCTCAATTCTAGCATTGGAGCTTTCCACCAAAAGAAGTCTTCTCAAAATCTTTTGCAGCAAGGTGGCATTTGAGTTACAGGTGAACAGGATGGCTTGTATTTTTGAGGTTATTCCAACACGCTGTGCATAACTGGACAGACGTTCTGTGGTGTTCGGTTTCCCTTTCTTCTCTCTCGCGCCTGCTCTGCACGGCGGCGACCCCTCTCTCTCTGGCCGGCCAGCCTGGCTCCCGGCAGTGACATCCTCCCACACCTGCGCACAGGCAGTGGTTGTGCTATGCTCGGCCTCGTGCTCAGCGGTGTGCTCCCTCCCAGCCGTTTGTACGGACCTTCCTTTTGGAAAAATAGCTCTTGTAAAGAGGCACAATGAATAATTCCAGGCGGATGATCCTTGGGTGGTTCCTCGGCAGGGCCCGCTCTGGAATACCCAGTGCCAGGTGGAAGGTGGCCCGGATTCCCGGCCTAGGGGTGGGGGGGATGGCAGCGCAAGCTGCCTAAGCCTCGCCGGCACCAGCCGCTCTGTCTCTCCCCCAAAGCCCCAGCCTTGTCAGCTATGAAAACGTACTTTACCCGGTGGTCATACCTGATTCTCCATCCCCGAGTCTTAGCACCAGCTATTCACGGATTTAGCGAAGAGCTACATGTTCCTCCTCCTGTCCGCATCTGACCCCTCTTCCATCGTGCCGGGTCACATGTGACATCACCGATGCTTTGGGGAATCTTGAACAGCTAGGGTTCTCCGTCGTCTTCGGCTGCACCCCAGCTTCGGTGCAGACCACCTCCTTTCCCGGGGCTACTCCTTTCTCCCCGAGGGCTGTACCCTGTCATCCTCCCATCTGGGCGGAGAAGCATCCCGTTGTGGGCTCGGCCCGCCCTCTCAGAAGCCGGACTTCATTGTTAGCCACGCGGCTATGGCTGGTGATAGCACTTCCCCTGCTCGTGTCAGATAGGAAGTGATTGAAGCAGGGGGCAGAGAGAGGGCCCGTCTTCTTTCTAAGCAGAAAAGCATAAAAAGGAAAGACAAAGACAAACACCTTGTTGAGCAGAGAGAAGTAAACTCCAGAAGGGAACCAAGAACTCCTCCCTTCCCTGGTGAGTATTTCCATTATTCCGTTAAGGTTTGATATGCATTCAGATTACTTTTACTAAATAGTACACCATAAATCTTTTGTTATATATTCAATGTAAACTGAAGGAATGTAAACATATGTATTGTTAATTATAAATAGAGATAAGTAATGACATCATAGATGAAAAAGTCTTATTCAGATGTATCACATTCATTTTACATTACCCTATTGTCGCATGGTAGAATAGTTTTTTTGTCTCTGAATATGTGAATAACTTGACTTGCGTTTATCTTTTTACATATTTAATAAAAAAAAGTATATGTTAAAAGGACTGGATTTACAGATTCTTACATTTTTATGCTAAGGTTTCCTTCCAAGTGAGCATGTGTGTGTGAATAGGTTATGTGGAATCCCGCATCTACCCACATTTTTTTATGATTGACAAGGCGGGGGGGGTCAATGGATGGCAAATGTTTTAACAGGAATTAAAGATTAGTATCTGATATCAAATGTAGCAGCTGTGATACCTTTTTAAAAACTTTACCAAAAAAAAAAGTAAGCCATTTCCTTAGGAAAGATTGCACTTGCAGGCACACAGAAGCCTCGCTCCTGCAGCTCCAGCCTGCTCCATCCGGACCAGACAGGGCTGGGCAGATAGGAAACTGGTGGAGCAGCAAGCAGATGTTTCCAAGCTTCATGGCAAAATGACGGAGGATGAGCAAAAGCTCTCGGGTTCAGTGCATTCTCCCCCTCTAGTTTAACAACTTGGACCAACAGTGATGATTTCTACACACCAGTAGAATACCAACTCATAGGCACAGGAATAGGTAAAAAAAAGAAATGCCTTAGAAGTGGCGAGGCTGGAGAACAGGGCACAGCAGCGTGTGGGAGACTTGGCCCAGGAGATGGCAGGTCACAGAGGCTCAGCCCATGCGCTCCCCACCCTGACGGATGCTAGCCTGCCCTAAACTGCTTTCAAGCACCATCTAGAGGCCAGTTTGGTTCCTATACTCTCCTTTGGCGACTATTTCCCATCCACTTACCTTTAGGCCCTTTTAAGCGGAGAAGTGGGAAAGGGACCGAAAACAAATATACTACCACTTTTCTCCATCTACACTCACGTCTGCACCGGGTAAGTGTGTGACAGAAGACTGAGCTGTTACCTGGGTTGGGAAAGTTCATACTCAAAACACACGTGTTTCCATTTCATTCCGCCAGCCCTGGGATTTTAAACACTAGCTCTCCCACTCAGACATCTGCACACAAATTGTCCAGAATACGTGTGCTCCATCTTACCTGAAAGGCACACTGGTGGACTCTAGGAAGCACATCACTAATGGTACAAAAGGGGGGGCGGATAATAGGTTTGCTCCACGTATTAAATCTGAGATCATCTCTAAAAATTGAACATGTTCCTACTGGGACTATGGGATTATGGGTAGGCCCATGGCGGGGGGGTGGGGGCAGAAAGGGGTTCATGTAATTCCACTAAATTCAAGTTACACAATGCCAGTTCTCTAAAATGAAACCGGTAACTTCATTCCTGGCCTTTCTTAGTCTTCCTCTTCACCGCTAGACACAGCTCCTGTGATCCTTCCAGCCACTGTCACTCGCAAACATCACTGACCCACCCTCTCGGCCCTAACGCCCTGTTGCCAGACTGCGCAAGTGTGACAGCAGGGCCGCTCCGGTTCTGGAGAGCTGGGAACTCAGACGTCCACCGCTCACTGGAAGAGTTCTGGCTTTGTTGCCTAATGGAAGGCAAACCTTAAAATCCCTTGAGCCCTGGTAGGAGCCCTCACATGGCACCGGGACTTCAGATCACAGGACTGCCCAAGGGCAGGACCCCCCCTCCACAGCCCCCACACCTTTTACAGGTAGGGCTCACACAGAAGGTGTGTTCGCTGAGGTGTCCCACCTCCTGTGTTGCCATGAGGATTGTGGAAGGCCCAGCCGAAGCTTATTTGTTGAATGCGTTTTTCTTTTTCACGGAAAATGTTGACTGTTTTTAGCTTGTCAAGCTTAACTTCTTAAACCGGTTGCCTGTGGTATTTTGTAACCATTTTCTCAAGACTGAGTATAAATGAAGTGTTTTTAAAGGGTAATAACATCTCAACGTACCTCTGAGTTTATGATATTCAGTAGGAACTAGCCCAGTACCTAAATGGGTTCTTTTCCTTCTATGTAGCAAACGTCCCTCATTTTTACATTATACTATTTCTCTAGGTCTTGAAGGTTATCTGTATAATTTTTTAGGTGTGTTTATCTTACTAAAATGTTTTGGTTAAATCTGCTCTCACACGTTAATTTCTAACCTTTAGAAATTAGAGAACAAAGAGTTCCCATAAATGCGCTCACAATTTTTATCTGATCTAAATTCACAGACTACCACTAGGACACTCTCTCCTAATCTGACATATTTATGATACAGATGAAATGTGACCTTCTTCTCCCAGGGAAACCTTTTTTTTTTTTTTTACCAGCTTCAAAGTTTTTCCAGAGTGAGAGACTATAGAAAATCACCTTAAATGTCAGTCTCTCAGAGGCTAAGCTCTCTCAAAGATAGGTTCAGAGATCATCCTGTCCTGCAGACACAGACACTGTCCCATCACATGAGCAAAATATGGGGGAGGGGGCCAAGAAGGAAAAAGTGAATTTTACCTCAAACATCTTCAATTTTTCTTGAGAGTGGTTTTGAAATTAATGTCACAGAACGCTGACCAGTCACAGCTAAAATATTATCAATACAACATCCCAGGTCATCTAGCTTTCTTTTTTAAATTTTGGTAACATTTCCTCGGGGATGAAAAACACACTCCTTTTAAAGATTTAATAGGCACAGAATGAACATTTGTATTTGTCATACCTACAGATCTAAAAAGGCTCAAATGTACTAATTTTTCTGAGAACGTAATGTGGGAAATTGCAGACAGGTGGTTGTATCTCTACCGTCTTCCCTAAGCAAAGACTTGACAGTGTAGATACTCCCTTGTTAGAACACAGTTTTGTTAGTCT